TGGGTGTTGTGGATGAACATTCGGTGCGCCGTAAGTCGGTTGCGGTGGTGGTGCAGAATAATCGCTGCTCACGGGTTCCACAGGGTGTGCATGGGCATCCGGGATGGTGTAACTTGGTCCAAGTGGAGCTGAGTAGCCTGTATTACTCACTGGATGTGCGTGTGCGTGGACATCCGGGGAAGTGGAACCTTGCTGAAAAGGCACGGAGTAATCAGCTGGGCTCGCGGGTGCTGCTGATGGGTGGTGATGGACATTCGGGTCGGCGACCCCAGTGTTATAAAGTGGTGCTGCTGCTGGTGCATGTGCGTGTTCGTGGTGTCCACCGTGGGCACCACCATCTGGAGCGCAATGGCACGCGGACGCCAGCACAAGCGCGTTGACGAGAATTCTGACGGTTGATTTAGAAATCATGATTTCACTTTTCGAATCTGCGTATCACCTGAAAGACATACGATCATTCGGAAATGTGATCAAAATATTTTTTCGATTGCATGCGTTCACCCTACTTCATTATGTCGAACGTCATACGTAATGTTCTTCTTCAATTTGCTGTGCTATTTTTCCTACCGTTGTCTCTGAACAAGTATAGTGAAGGTAACCATGGCAACCAGAAGCGTCTATCCGAACGTACAGCTATAATTGACACACCGAAACACCTGCTGCGATGTGAACAATCCAACGTAATAACCAAGCCTATTTATAATCTAATGCACGAGTTGGGTATACATTACTTGCTTTCGACTGGGGAAAGGAAATTCTGATTCAGAATCACTTCGGAGACTGCTTCAACGGCGTAAGAACTATATGTTGTCCCAGCAGCAGTTTGATTAATGATAAGAAAGGGTTCTAAGTGATTACTGTGGAATTCTCGCGCTCGATCGATTCGGTAATGGTATCCTCGGACTGAAATTTCAAGAGTTTTAGAAGACGAAAGAGTGTATACACTTCTTCGTCTCGATATCAAGAATCGATTTAAATTTTTCAGCGACGACGAGCTCCTTGCACTCGATTCATTTGGTGAATTTGTATATTCTCGGATTGAAAATGATTTCAAGCTTCGGAATGTCCTTCCGTGAGAAAAAAGAAATTAGGGCTCATTTTGCGAAGTCCCGGGAATGATTTCAATTTTTATTTCAGTTCAGGCGTGTCAATACAGTAATTGACTTGGATCTCGGGATTCTTTGATGGGATAAATTCTCTCCGCGAAAAATTTCGTCCTTGATTTAACACCGTTCTAATTTCCGTACTGCTCCAATATTTCGGCCCAGAATATGTACACGTATTCCTTAACTCGTCTCATTAAAAGTAATATAAGCGAGAGAACAATTTTACACCTTCGAATCACTTTTCAATTGATGCTCGCGATGCGTCTGGAGTCTCTGGACTCACCAAGCTTCACCCATGAATTAAAACCATCACCAACCCGCTTCCCTGGTTTTTGTACCTGATCGATCTCCGGCCTTCGACCTTGATGACAAAATCTTCGAGGTCAGGATACTTCCCTGATGCAGGTCACAACATCTCGTCTTCCTTAACATGAATGCATCGTACTTCAACCTGGGGTTTCATCGACACGCT